CAACTGTTTGCGACGTTCCTTATAGAGTTGCTTTAATAAAAGCTGAATGCAGAGGAAGTCCTAACCTTTCCCGATCACGAGGCCGCACTTATCAGCTGGTATTGTGTAGGTCACTTCCTGCAGGCCTCCGGGAGATCCCATGCTCCAATCCCCGCGACCTCTGCCGCGACCTCTGGGTCCAACCGGGCCTCCGAACCCATCACGCTCCTGAACACACAATTAAAATATATAACCTTATTCATTACATAATGTGAATTGCACATCAATTCAGACTGACAAATTAGACTACAAAAGATAAGAAAAGCATCGAATAGACATTACAAAAAAAGTAGCTTTAGAAAGAAATATGATTCAACTTTGCATAAATAATGATAATAAATGGGTATTAATGAATACTGAGATATGAAAATAAATGATACGCTAAATATGAGACTAAAAGCGCCAGTAGGTGGCATCGAGTCACTGTTTTAATAAGTGAGTCATTGAATCAATCACTCAACCGATTCGCTCTTTTCAACATACTATGCTTTGGGACACACTTATTCTGATCTCACATACTTTTTAGGATGGATAGTATGAACATTGAATCATTCACTCACTCGATTCATTCAAACGGCGGATTCATACAGAAACACAGCGAGTGTCTCTTTATGAGTGAGTCACTGAATCCCCGACTCACTCGATTCATTCAAACGGCCGATTCGTTCAGAAACAAAGTGAGTGACTGTCTTTATGCATGAGTCACTGAATCACTGACTCACTCGATTCATTCAAACGGCCGATTCATTCAGAAACAAAGCGAGTGACTGTTTTTAATAATGAGTCACTGAATCACCGACTCACTCGATTCATTCAAACGGTCGATTCATTCAGAAACAAAGCGACTGACTGTCTTTTTGAATGAGTCACTGAGTCACCTGATTCATTCAAACGGACAATTCATTCAGAAACAAAGCGAGTGACTGTTTTTAATAATGAGTCACTGAATCACCGACTCACTCGATTCATTCAAACGGACAATTCATTCAGAAACAAAGCGAGTGGCTCTTTTTAATAATGACTCACAATCACCGACTCACTCGATTCATTCAAACGGCCGATTCGTTCAGAAACAAAGCGACTGACTGTCTTTTTGAATGAGTCACAATAACCGACTCACTCGATTCATTCAAACGGCCGATTCATTCAGAAACAAAGCGAGTGACTGTCTTTACGAATGAGTCATTGAATCACTGACTCACTCGATTTGTTCAAAAGGTGGATTCATTCAGAAACGAATCACCGCTGTGTGTTGATCACAGACGCTCAGGAGTTCTGCTGTGGCTTTGAATGGAACTATTTCATGTGTGAAACTGATCAAAACAAACAAATACTGGGTCTAAAATGTAACACAATATTAACTTCTTGCTTATTGAACCATTAAATCAAAATCACATTAGTAATGGTGCAGATATTGGGGGAAAGCAGCACTCTAGCTGGTGTGATAATATCAGATTTTTTGCGCTCATATCTTGAATTTGAGGCTCGTGTAACTGCATTCTAATGGACTCTGCATCAGTGTAGGACGACGCTCCAGACGCACCTGTGCCGTTTGGACCAGATCATTGATGAGGTGAACCGCGTGCTGACACCGGTCCGGTTGACCCATGACTTGAGCGATCCGGTCCGGACTGATCCCGTCATCTGAAACAGACACGCAGATCCACAGATTACAAGAACAGCAGCTCATTTACACAGCTTTAACCCTATAAAACTACTCCATCATATTTGTGACCCTGGA